AACCTACAATTTTCTCCAAAAAATTTTATAATACTAACCTACCTCTTGGAGTTCTTTTTAATGTTGAATAATAATAATTTTGTATATGTGTTTTTGAAATATAATATGCAATTGAATGTTGCTGATTATGATTATAATTAATTAAAGAATTTATTGATTTTTTTGAACAGAATTGTAAAGTTCTAATTGATTTGAATAACATTTTTTCTGAGAATTATAGTAATATGGGACATCAAAAACCAACATTATATCACCTAAAGATTTCAGGGATCAATTTAGTATAATTGCGATAACATTTTTTTAATTTTTATTTAATAATTATATCCCAACTAAATAAGTCAATTCAGGGCGGGGTTTTGGAATTGGACCTTGTTATAAATTATTTTTGTACCCATGCCAAAGCAAATTAATTCGTTATTATTATTTATTATTATGGAATGTATAGCAGTATCACCTTTGTATTAATTGGCTTTTAATTATATAGTAATAGCTGTAATAGCTAAAATACAACAAAAAAATGTTTGATTAATACAAGGAAGGAAGGAATGGGATAGTTTGTATTTATAAGATAAAGTATATTTGCAAGAATCCTCGCTAAAAAAATTTTCATCAAGAAGTTTATGTAAGCTTATTTTTGCTCGTATTGAATATAAAGTTTTTAGTTTCTCTTTAGTTTTTTTTGAAGCTGGTAAGTTTTCAGTAGATCTTTTTAATGAAGACACGTTTAAGGATAGGTAATAGTTGATGATGATAAATTTTTACTTCTTTATACAAAGAATTTAATAATGATAATTTTAATGATTGCTAAAAATACGTTATAATCGCTATAATCACAATGACAATGAAGATAACAATGATAATAATAACAACAAAGTTAATAGTAACAAAGATATAGCAATAAAGATAACAACAATGAACAAGGAAGGCAAAAACAACAACGCAAGCTTGAACTTTTAACAATAAAAAAATATCAGTTGGTACCATTTCAGGAATTTCACATTTGTGTGGGCGATTGCTGAGCGAGAAGGAATTATAAAAGCTCATGAAATACCTAGTTATATATATGTAATTTTTGATATTAACGAACAACAATATTAATAATGAATGAAATTTACGAGAACGCAACGTGAGCTTTTGCTTTTTTACGTATTACACTATCATGCATGCCATGCTACGGGAGATTAAAATTTTATTTATTTTAGTATCGCGTTGACATTAAAGTTAAGTTGGTTTGTATTGCGTATTCGTCGCAAAGAGCAAAAAAATCACATCACTTTGGTCAAGGCAATAATAAATAGGAAGGCCCGAATTTTTTCTCTAAATTTTCATAGATATTCTTTGGAGCATCAAAGTTAGCACTGGATGTGAAGAATCCTAGTGTCCATGATAAATGATGCTGTTTTTAATAAAATAGACTATTTCGTGGCCAAATGATTCATTGATCGAGTAGTCTAATAAATTACTACATAAACATATAAATAGACCCGCTACCCCACTTGTAGACCAAAAATTGTGCATCATACTTGCTTTTCACGTTGCATTCGAACTCGGGGGTTAAAGTACATGGTGCCAAAATGGCATTCTATGGTTTGGTTTTACACGTTGCATTCAAATGTGAGGGTTAAGGAATACTCCACATTATTATCCATTTGTTGAGAAAAAATTTGTTTGTTTGTTTTTTATTTATTTTAATGATTAAAGAGTCATTACGCGAACAAAGAATTTAATAAATTTAATAAAAGTCTAATTCCATTTGAGATATAGATGGCTGAAAAGATGGAAATTCCCTTGATGGATGTGTATAATTGATGAAAAGAAACATGTATATCATCATTTATATAATGGTAATGATAACATTAAGAAGTTTATGAACAGATAATAAATATTTATTTAATTATATCTTGTAATAAATTTAATCTTTTCCATCGGGATACTCGATAACTATATTATTGTTGTATTATTATAATTATGAGCTGTACCCTTAGATGCAAGCTTCCGTCCTCTCTCAATTTGTTCCATCCTTCCTGTCCTTCCACCATCATCTAATAAAAAACATATACATAGAAAAAAAATAAAGAATTAGTAACGAAAGAGCCACGCACTGCCAAGGGTGCACGATTGATGATAAATTACATATTTATATGAAAACACATTTTTACCACTTGGTGCTTCGGAACCAATTAATTGTTTACGATTAAAAGCTTGGTTTTTTTGCTCTTATGGTAATCTACTAATACTAATAATTTAATGCATATGTACAAAGACCAAGATCCCATTTTTGGTTATTTATATCCTGGCCAATGACCCGTGACAAGAATTTGGCATTTCGTAATGAAGCAAACCTGCTATATATATTATTAATATAGCTTTGTAAAAACATCTTGTATTTATATTCAAAAATTTATATAAGATTCCTTTATTTCAAGATCTCTCTTGTAAAGATAAAACAATTGGGCCAGTTTCGAAGTTAAACCAAGTATCAATTCAGTCCCAGTTTCGAAATTAAAACAAGTGTCAAATCAGTCCCAGTTTTGAATCGGTTTTAAAATTAAAACAAGGGTCAAATTGGACCAGTTTGTACCAAGAAACGAAGGCTTGCTTTTTTTTATTTTTAAAATTCTTAACTACAAAATGAATTATCTGTAAAGGACTTAGTATATAAATTCTAAGCAATAATGCTAGTAGTGGTGTATAACGAAGATGAAAAGTTATAACCTTTACCTAAATAAGTAGGCAGTATAGCAGCAGTAGTGATAGTAGCAATAGTTGCCATAGTGCTTGATGAAAAATGCAACAATGAATTTTTTAGAAGATCAGTCATGCATAATTTTCATATGACAACAAACACAAAGAGACTAAATTTGATTTTGTAAAAGAGTTTCGATTCCATTTATTAAATTCTGAAAAGTGTTTTGTATTCCCAAAATATGTGTTTACAACGTAACAACGCTATTTTTTGCAAATACTTGTAACATTGATGTGCTTGCATATTACTAAATGTAATTTTTGTCAAAATTCAGATGTTTATTAACACAATTTCTAAAAATTTATTGTAAACACAAAAATTTTTGTTACGTTGTAGATAAGGTTCTCAGGATAATAATCATTTTGGATTTTTTCTGTGGCTATTCTGTTTCCAGAGTTATAAAATTTTTGAGAAATTCTATTAAAATTGATATTAGTATATTAATATATACTGTATATATACAAAAGAAAATTAAATTTAATAAAAATTTGATCTGCATGTTTGCGTGACACGAAATCCTTACTATTTGATTTTATTATTTGGAGACTGGACCAACAAAACACGGTTCTGGGCTCCTTGACTCAAAATTGAGCTTTTTGTATCAAATTAATCAGCAATTCAAGGATTATATTTTGGTACAATTTTTGATGTGTAAAAGTATAATACAGAAACGTATAAAATGAGATTGAATCTTTTTATATTTTTAGGGACCAAATTTAAAAATAAATGATCAGCAAAGAAATTTCTTAAAATGTAAAATTTTAAAATTTATTTTTAAGGTTCCCAATCATCAATTGAGTTTTAATAAACAAATCCATTTCTTTTTTATCTAAAGCTTTTAAATGAATCAAACGCTTAAAAAAGAGCCTAAATCCAATTTTTTCAAAGCAAGGGCAGAAGTTTTTTAACTTTCTAGGCTGAAGACAAGTGCAATTAGCAGAACTAGAAAAAAATTCCTTTATTTCAGCAACTGTATTAAATACTAACTCATTATCTTCATATTCTTCTAAACCATATTCAATTAAATCAAAAAAAATATTGTTATTTTCAGCAGCCATTGTTAATATTATATTAATATTAATTTTTATTTTGAATTTAATTTTTAGTTTTTATTTAGAGATCATTTAAATGTGTACTACATAGATCTAAAAATAGGGGGCTTTTTTGTTTTTGTGATTTTCTCAAAATTAAAAATTAGTTTGAGAACCGTGTTTTGTTGGTCCTGCCCCCATATATAATATGTAATAATAATAATAATAACGATCATAATAAAATGCCTAAATATGATAGGTCAATATCGCTTTGTAATGAGCGCAGATCTTTCTATTAATAGCATGATCTACAAGTACTCACGGTACTCACTGTACTCATGAGTAACCTATTATGAGTACAAACACTAATTTTAGTTTTCTTACTGCCAAATTTAGATACGATAGTCAAGAACTAGTCTAAATTTGGTAATTTTTTTCCTAAATTTAGAAATGATCATAGTGTACAAATTCCTCACGAGTATACAGTCGGCGCTCGATATAGTGAACCTACTGTATAGTGAATCGTACGATATAGTGAAGATGGAAAATTTCCCAT